TTGGAAGGAAGGGTGCCTGAACCTACAGGAGACTCCATGGGAGCAGAGCTGGAAGGAGAAAGGCATCAGACTGGATTAAGCCAAGAGAATCGTGAAGACCACCAAGAAGGGTAGGTGGATTACCTAACATCCCCCCCCCCCATATCTGGGATCGTTGGTGGGCTCCTGAGCTGCTGGAGAGAGCTTCCACCAAAGCGAACCCAGAGATTGCTGCTGCCAGTGAGCAGAGAGCTTCTTGCTGGACAAGGCAACAAGCTCTCACTCCCCCCACCCTAGGGCACTTCCTGCCCCACAGACACCAGCCAGACAGCAGGTGCCACATTGCTTCTATAGCCACTGGGCGCCTTTGCCCTCCCCAGCAGGCTTCAAACCCTCAGATTCCATCTTGCCCATCCTCGCACAGACACTTCCCAACTCTGGCCCAGACTGCAGAAGCCACAGGGGTCCAGTGGGTCCCAGGTGATCTGTGTGACTCCACAGCCCTATAATTCTGGGAGGACTGCCTTCCAGAGGGAGGATTTGAGATGACCAGAGGGTGGACTTCCCTCCACCTAGACTCACTTTTGTCCCTTCTCCTCCCCCATCCCCACCTGCCCAAAGAGATAACTGAGCAACCAGCTGGAGGCTTCCACAGGGATCAGAGCTCAGACCTATCCTTTTGAGGTCCTGGAGCAGACTGAGGGACACTTAGACTGGGAGCTCCCTGCCTATTGGCCTTCCCTGTTGCTGCTTTCCTGGAGACTCCAGCAAAGCAGGGCACACGTTGAGGTGGAGGAACACTGAATCAGCTTGGGTACCCCATGAGAGACAGTTGGGACCAGAATCCTTTTCCCTGGCATGGTTAGCGTTTGATCTCCAGGGCCCTGGGGACAGACCAGCAGACCAGATCCTGTACACACAGGTCTTGATCACATTTCCTGGGGAAACAGAGGATATATTTGCATATTGGTGCCCCCAGGGGCAGCATGCTCCAGGGCACCCTCCCATGGGAAAGCCACGCTGCCAGATCAAGCTGAGATGCTGGAAAGGTAGCTCCCCAGCCCACGTAACAGTCATGGTGGGGCTCATTAGGCTTGAGGTCCTGCCTGCCAGGAGAGGCCTGGAAAAAACTGCAGAATAGGAGAGGGTGGAAAGGAGCAAGGCCTGCTCCAGACTGCCACACTTTTTGGATGAGTGAGGCCACTTCAGCCCCTGCCTGGCATCTTTGACCAGAGGCAGAGAACAGACCTTTGATCCCTGCTAAAAGCATTTTGTGGAGCTTGAGGGCAGGCTCACCCAACTCAGCCATGCCCATCCTCACTCCCCCCCTCCCCCTGCTGAGGTGGAGAATAAGGACACATCTGGAAGATCCAGGACTCCACCCACCACCTGGGGCAATAGAGTGCTTCTCCTGAGGAACTGGAGCTGCTCACAGGACCCCCAAAACAACATTGCACCTTGTTCCTCCTGGCAAGCACCACCTACTGACAGGGAGGTCAATTTGCATGACCTTTTACTGCATTTACTGACTCATCCTACAGGGTGCAGTCAATTCTCACCTACAAGCACCACTTACTACAGATATTAAACTGGGCATGTCATTATCTAAACAAAAGAAAATCCAAAGGTAAGAAGCAACAGCTGCTCCAGATGAGAAAGAATCAGAGAAAAAATTCTAGAAGTATGAAGAATCGAAACAGAAGGACATCCCCATAAGGGAACACCAGCTCTCTAGCAATGGATACCAAACAAAATCAAAATATTCAAATGACAGATGAAAAATTTTGAACATGGATTGTAAGGAAGTTCAATGAAATATAAGATAAAATGGAAACCCAACACATAGAAACCACAAAAAATCATGAGGAAATGAAAACTTCACTAAAGAAATGGAAATATTAAAGAAAAATAAAATGGAACTTCTGGAAATGAAAAAATTCATTCAAGAAATTACAAAACACAGTAGAAAGCCTTAAGAATGGGTTAGACTGAGCAGAAGAAAGAATCTAAGAGCTTGAAGACAACACCTTTCAATTAAACAAGTCAGTCATGTAGATAGAGCAGAGAAATAAGAGAAAAAATCAAAGCCTACAAGAAATGTGGGATTATGTGAAGAGGCCTAACATAAGAATCATAGACATCCCTGAGAGTGAAGAAGATAAAAAAGTTGGATAATCTATTTGAGGGAATAATTGAGGAAAATTTCCCTGGCCTTGCTAGAACTCTAGATATCCAGGTACAAAAATCTCAAAGGACTCCTGGGAGATTCATCCCAAAGAGAAAAACACCAAAGTGCATAGTCTTCAGACTGGCCGAAATAAACACAAAATAGGCAATCCTAAAATCAGTAAGGTGAAAGCAGCAGGTAACTTACAAAGGAAAACCCATCAGACTAACTGCAGACTTCTCAACTAAGACCTTGTAAGCCAGAAGGGACTGGGGTCCCATTCTCAGTCTACTCAAACAGAATAATGCCCAGTCTAGAATTTTGTATCCTGCAAAAATAAGTTTCATCTATGAGAGGGAAATAAAGTCTTTCTCAGATAAGCAAACACTAACAGAATTTGTCAAAGGAAGACCTGCCCTGCAGGAAGTACTCAGAACTGCATTACACATGGATCAGCACGATAGACACTCACCAGTGTAAAATCATCCAAAATCTAAAGGTCAAAGGCTATATACCACAATTATTCAAGACATAAAACAAAGCAACAAAGTCCTACTCAACAGAATGAACAGAAATCTACCCCACTTATCAATTCTTTCAATAAATGTGAATGGCTTGAACTGCCCACTGAAGAGACATAGGATAGCTGAATGGATAAATATACACAAGCCAAGTATCCATCATCTTCAGGAAACACATCTAAACCAATAGGATTCATTCAGACTCAAGGTTAAGGGATGGAAAACAATATTGCACACAAATGGAAAGCAAAAGAAAGCCAGTATAGCAGTTCTAATGCAAATAACTTATTCTTCAAAGCAACAAAAGTAATGAAAGACAAAGATGGTCATTATATAATGGCAAAGGGAACAATTCAATCAGAAGACATAACAATTCTTAATATTTACTCACCTAACACAGGTGTGCCCACACTCATAAAGCAAATCCTGCTTGATCTAAACAAAATGATTAAAAACAGCACTGTAATAGCTGGGGACTTCAATACTCCAATGACAAAATAGGACAGATCTTCCAAACATAAAATAAATAAAGAAACAATTGATTTAAACAGAACTCTAGAACAAATGGGCATAATAGATATTTACAGAATTTGCTGCCTAAAAACCACAGAATATACATTCTTTTCATAAGCTCATGGGACATTCTCTAAGATTGACCATATACTAGCCCACGAACCATGTCTCGAAAAATTTTAAAAAATAGAAATTATACCATACATCTTCTCAGACCACAGTGGAATATAATTAGAAATCAACTCCAATAGAAACTCTCATCTCTGCACAAAATCATGGAAACTAAACAATCTTCTGCTGAATGATTATTGGGTTAAGGAGTAAATTAAGATAGAAATCAAAAGATTCTTTGAATTAAATGATAAAGGGGATACACATTATCAAAATGTGGGACACAGCTAAAGTAGCACTGAGAAAAAATTCATAGACTTAAATGCCTACATCCAAAAGAGAGAAAGATCACAAATCAACAATCTAATGAATTGAATCAAAGAACTGGAAAAAGAAGACCAAACCAACCCAAAATCCAGCAGAAGAAAAGAAATAACCAAGATCAGAGTGTAACTTAATGAAATCAATATCAAAAGAACTATACAAAAGAAAAATGAAACAAAAAGCTGGTTCTTTGAAAAGATAATAAGAAGATAAAAGATAATAGATAATAAAAAAGATAATAAAAGAGATAATAAAAGATAAAAAGATAAACAAAATTAATAAGCCTCTTGTTAGATCAACCAGAAGCAGAAAAGAAAGGACTCTAATAAACTCAATCAGGATTGAAAAAGGAGAAATTATAACTGATATCACAGAAATACAAAATATCATCTTTGAATACTATAAAAATCTCTATGCACATAAACTTGAAAGCATGGAGGAAATAGACGAATTCTTAGAAACACACAGCCTCCCTAGGCTCAGTCAGGAAGTAATAAAACCCCTGAACAGACCAATATCAAGTACCAAAATTGAAGCAGCAATAAAAAATCTTCCTAAAAATAAAAAGTGCTAGACCAGATGGTTCCAAATTTTATCAGACCTACAAACAAAAACTGGTGCCTGTCCTGCAAAAAGTATTCCACAACATTGAGAAGGAAAAAATCCTCCCCAACACGTTTTATGAATCCAATATCAGCCTCATACCAAAACCAGTAAAGGACTCAACAAAAAAAGAAAACTACAGGTCAATATCCCTTATGAATATACATGTAAAAATTCTCAGGTAAAGCCCACTTGGTCGTGATAAATTAGTTTTTTGCATTTGATTTCATAGGATTTTATTGAGAATTCTTCAGGTAAAGAACTTTAAAAAATATTTTTCAAACTCCCCTCATCCTTCACCTTTTAATAAAAACTAGGGGTAGGTTTAGCCACATTAGCAGCATTTCTGTAAATAATCTATTAATTGTGTATCAAAGTTCAACACTAAAATTCTTTGCAATTTTAAAGTCAAAATAATTCACATCACAGGTGCTCAACAAATATTTCCTGATCATTATTTCAATTAAAATACCTAGAGCTTTCCTCAACCTCTATATTTTATAATTGAGATATCAAAGAGAAAAAGTAAATACATTTGTTTCTATTTTCCCCTCAAATAATATTAACAAATTAATATGCAGTCATTAAAATATTTTACTAGAAAATATCAAACTATTTCATAAGATGACTGCCTGGTTTCATTTAGGTCCCACGCTTTCTTATTATAAAAGTAATATATAATTATTATTACAAATTAAGAAAAATAAGTCAGCATAAAGAAGATGATAATGATAATCACCAAATCTCTCTCTCTCTCTTTCTCTTCCTACACCCCCCCCCAGAATGTTAAATTGGAAGCTGCAACTAAGGACCAAGGATACAAAAGATATTAGATTTCACAGAAACCATTCAAGAATTGCAGATTTGACACTTTGACTCCTTCCCGGCCTGGAAGGAGGAGTGCCTGAGAGGAGGGTTTCTCTGGTGAGCGCTCCTTGGACAAGGGTCACGGTGGGTCCCAGGCGCAGGCCGGCCGTGTGCCCCCACCCTGGCTTGCAACATGCTGATGGCCCTTGGGGGGCTGCGACCCTACCCGCAGTGGGATCCCAGCACCGAACCGCTGGGCTTCGCACCCCCTTTAACCAGACAGCACGTGGGGCCAGACTGGAGCGTGGAGCCTGCCTCAGCGACAGACTCCCAGACACTCACTGCTTCCTCAGTTCAGCCTTGGTAACCACGAGTCCTCACCGAGGTGAGTCACTAATGCCTGACGCCGGGTTTTGGTTTGTTCATTGTGTTTTCTTTGTTTTTGTTTTTGTCGTGGAGGGCCAGAGAAGGAGCAGTGACACCAATTTCTCTTTCCTTGATTCAGCAGAGCTGACAGACCACCGGCAAAGGCCGGAGCTGGGCCCCACACCAGCATGGCTGGTGTCAGCGGTGACCGTGTGCGACAGTTTGTGTTGCACAAGATCAACTGTCACTCCAGCCACCGTGGCCTGCAAATGCACCGTTCTCCCATTTGGCAATAGGGAAAGAGGCATGGTCTCCTGCAAGAAGCAAAGAAATTGGCCAGAGTCTTTGTTCAAATCGCCTCCAGGAAGGGTCAGCTTCTCATTCCCTCCCTGGCATAAATTCCTGGCGTACATGCAGGACATTTAACTGCTCAACAGCCTAAAACCAGGGCTCATTGCCTGCCTTGCTTTTCTTTAACTATTAATTATTTTTTCTTTCTAGTTGGAAACTATAGCTGAAAGTGCTCTTGACAGATGGTATCGGTCAACACGCCGCAGCCTCAGACTTGCCAGAGCTCACGACCAGGCCGACGTGGTCTGCCCCAGACGCACATCGTCATTACTGGCGCCCGTGACCCTGAGGAATCTTGCCTTATTACCAGCCCCCTTGAAAGCATGTCATTTTGTCAACGCAAAAATCTCGCTACACCCTAAGACACTGGCCGATGAGTTTGCAGTCCCTAGCGTGGAGCCCTGCTCACAGCACACGTTCCGAGCTCCCTGACGGAGAGAACGCGGGTGCCAGCCGCTCCCTGCCCCTCTGAGCCACTGGGAGGCACCTGCGCTGCCTTGTGACACGCTGGGCACAGGGCACAGCTTCTCCTTAAGTGCGCACCTTCCTCTGACCCCTCAGCTTCTCAGCCTCCCTCACATCTGCCCCAGAGAACAGCGGGAAAATAGAGCCCTGTGTTCCCTTGGACATGAATAAGTGACAATTAAACGATCTGGAGCTGAATGTTTGTTTCAGGGTGAGTCGCGTGGCACAGCAGCCAAGTGTATTTTGTTAAGGGCGTCCCCGCCCTGCGCCCCCCACCACACACACACACACACACACACACACACACGCACACACGCTCACACACGCACACACGCCCGCACATTATGGAGACAGAAATAACTTTGACATGGGCAGTCTTTTGGGACTCAGGTGAAGGGCAGGAAACCAGCCTGTAGACGTCTGCTGTGGCCCTGCTCCAGATGGCCTCGCTCCAGTCCCCACGGCAGCACCCTGGGTGAGACTCAGCTCTCGGGTGTCGGGGGCCGGGACTGAATCACTCCTCGTGACTTCAGGTGTATTATTTACCCTCTTCGTACTTCATTTCCTCCTCTATTAAATGAGAAAATATTCATAGTTTATAAGGTTGTTTTGAAAACCAAAAATAACAAATGTGAAACATCTAGCACATGCTCAGTAAGACATAGCTATTATTGTTGTCTCCATTTTTCAGGGAAGGAAACTGAGGATTGAAAGAGTGTAAACTAAGGACACACAATTCCTTAATTTAAAATATAGTCATTCACTATCAGTCACCTTTTGATTGACATACATGTGCTTGATGCTGTTTCTTTGAGCAAGATTTTTCAAATAGGATGATTCACAGGACGGACAGGCCACAGGCTGGGGAGCTCTGCACACCTCCCGCTTCTCAGCAGTTTCCTTCATTCTCCTCCTTCCTGGCGCCAGAACACCCGCCCAGATACACGTTTTGTGATCCAACCATCCCAACAGGACGTTGCTCTTAGCTACTTATCAGTTAGTTGCCCTGGAGTCTCCCAACCACTTTATATCGCCTATATTAAATCCACCACTGCACATGGGTGAGGATAAGCATTGTCCATAGAAGAAATTATCACTCAAATAATAAAAGCATAAATCAATACCTAACAGGGCGGTAGGAGCAGGGGAGACAAAGCTTCTAAGTCACGAACAAGCATTTTCAGACTGTCTTTGAACAAAACAACATTTGCTGAAAATCTTTTGATAGAAACTTTTCATTTCCTTTCATAAATTGGTTCTTTCTTGTTAGATGTTTCCTTTGATTTTCCTTTTTTTCTTCTTTCAGTCATCCCAGTATTGAGAAATGTATTAGATGTTTACTGAAAAGGGCTGGACCGTGTTCAGAACTTGTGCAAACTTCGAAATTCTTAGTTTGTTCAGCACATGGAGCTTCCACTATTACTTAATTGCCACACCCTCTTCAAGTTCCTTAGAGACCTGTAAATATGAAATGAATCAGAGACAGTTAATGTATTTCATTCAGTCCCAACTGCAAAAAAATACTTATTTTTCCTTCATGGAAAATCCAAGCTTCCCCAGATGTCGTCCATAGACTTGCATTTCACTCCTCATTTCCACTGTTGAGGTTCAAACCTGTGCCACAGTCTCAGGTCAGGAGTGAGGGAATCCACAGCAAGGGTGCTGATTTTAATCCTTCCTCTTGCTTTAGCCTGCACTAGAGGGCAGCTAAAAGGAAAATGTTTGTTCGAGTCAGCCAGCTTTATTGAATGCTTGCCCTGCAGTAGGCATTGGAGAGATGTGGATGAGTAAACCTAATTTCTGCTCTTAAGAATATCAAAGTCTGTTAAAGGAAACACATTCAGAGACAAATAAATACAGACAGTGGGAAATTAGTCATTGTTTCTGTAGGCACAAAGGAAAAGATTAAGTCTATTTGGCTTTGTGTGGCAGAGCTAGGCATGAGGAGAGGAACGACAAAGTTTGAGGAGGGACCCTGCATCGTTGCTGGCTGCGGGGACACGTGGCTTGTCCACCTGCAGCGTGCCTCTCGGGGGAAGAAAGAACCTCGGATGCAAGCGACAGCCCGGTGAATCTCAAAGCATTAGTTGAATAAAAGACACTGGGCTTGGAAAACTACATGATAAAAGATTCCACTTATGTAAACTTCTAAAAAGGCACAACTATAGTGAAGAAAACAAATCAGGAATTGTCAGGGGCCGAGGGGTAGGAGGCCGGGGTAGACCGCAAGGTGACACAGGAGGATTTTTGCAGAGTGATGTTCTGGATCACAAAGGCCGTGGTGCTTACATCGCTGTATCTATCTGCTAAAAGTCATTGAATTATACATACACTTAAAATGGGTAACATTTATTGTATATAAATTATAACCCCAACAAAGCTGACTTTTAGAAAAAGCAAATGAATAGAGCTTCGCTATTTGGACATGGGGCACAGGAAGGGAAAGAGAAAATTGCACATGGAGACAACCAAAGGCAGGGAAATGTACAACAGCAGTGGGGAGAGAAGGACTATTGGGGGTTCATTATTTCTGGAGGGGAAGTAAAAGGCTGGGGAGGGCCGAGGCTGGAATCGGACCATGGAGGCCTTTATGGTCCGTCTTCCTATGAAAAGCACAGCTTTGGCCGTCAAACAGGAAACAGAGAAAGAGGAGAAAGCACACCCTCCTCATCTAAGATACCGACAAGATGCCATTGAGGTAGGTGAAGTCAGACATTTACTTGGAACAAATAAACGTAATCATTTACATTGTGAAATCTGAAGCACAAGCAACATTATTTCTCAGCAATGGTGTTCGCTTCCAAGAACAATCCACGAAATTCTCTATTTCAAATTGGAAGCAAATTCATTCCATCAGAATTTAGCCATGTCCTGACCACAGACTGGCTTTCAGAATGGTCATTTGTCCCCCTAGCCAAACACAATTAAAAGTTGGTGACACTTTCACAACCAAATAAATACAAAAGGTGAATTAGTCATGACTAGTAAAAAAAAAAAAATGAAAATAATGTTTTGCCTATCATCAAGCTGTCTACGCATGAGAGACTACGACAAAGGCATATAAAGTAAAGTAGCATATAACAAGAAGCCAAAGTGAATAACTTTGTAAGAAAACAACTTGCCTCAACCACTGCGCTGTCTGAAGGCTTCCCTCTATTAAGCTCCTCTGAGTCCACCTGTCTAGAGAGCTACTGGCTCTTGTCCCCTGTCACAAGCGCCCACTCCACGACACCGGGCTCGGCGCTGCCCACACTCTGGGCTGGGCCAGCACGCAACCGCGCCGCACGCAGGCGCACGCAGGCGCACGCAACCGCGCCGCACGCAGGCGCACGCAGGCACACGCGGGCACACGCAGGCACACGCAACCGCGCCGCACGCAGGCGCACGCAGGCGCACGCAGGCGCACGCAGGCGCACGCAACCACGCGGCACGCAGGCGCACGCACGCTTCGCCACCGGTGGTCACACGGGCCTCTGCTCCCGCTCCGGGCCGGCCAGGCTGCGCGTCAGCCCTGACGCCCTCCCCCAAAGCAAAGAGCACCACTGACATACAGGCCTCATTTCACTTTGCGGGAAATTAATGCGGAAGCTCCATAGGTGTTAGAGACAGACTCCAATCCGGGGACAGATGAGGCATGGAAACACAAGGCATAGCGCCAGCGCCACTTCCCTCCCGCCCTGTCACCGCGTCCCCCCCCCCTGCCCTCCCGGCCCTTCTCGGCAGCCCACACGAGCTGCGCGGGTCAGCCCACACTGGGCCTGACGTGTCACGGGCCAGAGCCCCGTGCCCACACAGATCGTCCTGCCCGCCACCCTGGAGGGACGCCGGCGATAATTAATATTGATAATTGCAATAACAGCTCCTCCCATCACGCACCGCGACTGCAGGACTCCACACCGCCAGCCCTTACGGCCACCTGCAAGGCGGATGCTTCGGTCCCCTCCACAGGGGAAGCCGGACACTCGCAGAGGTAAACAAGCTGCCAAGGTCAAGTGAGTTGAGAGTTGAAGAATGAAGACTGGACATCTGATGGGTCTAACTCCAAATCTTACACCTCTTCTGTTGACACTGGTGAGAAGTGGGGTGAGAAGGAAGGAAAGAACGAGAAGTCTGCTCTGTGTCCACACATCTCAGGCTCACGCAGTTCCGGAGCGAGAGAAGCAAGCGCGACGCTTACCAGGCCGAGCAAGACTTCAGCGAAGTAGCCGTGCTCCTTTGATGTCCCGCCGGTGTCAGGCCTGGCCACTGAGGAAGTCAAGACTCCACCCATCCCCCCTCAGCAATTGCAATCAGTGGAAATAATAGCTCCCCCGAGAAGATGACATTTAATCAAAGTCTCAACCATGGCTTGACATTGACCGTAAAGTTGGGAAAAGAACATTTCAGCCATTGCACTTTCGGTTGGTAAAGCACTTCCTGAATATTAGTGCATTTAACACTCAAAAAAAAGTATGAAATAGTGGAACAGTTATCAACACCCCCGTTTTAAAGATCAGAAAGATCAGGAGACTGAGGCTCAAGTAGGCTGAGTCGGCGTCCCTTATACCCTCACGACACTCTCAGGCAATGGTACACAGGGAACACGTTGGAGAGGAAAACATTTTTAAGAATTGGGTTTTCACCGTCTCCAGGGGGCTGGACACGCTTGAAGCTCTGACTTGGTGGGGCATGGGCAATATACATAACCTAAACATCTGTACTCCCATAATACATCAAAGTTTTTAAAAATTTTTTTAAAGAATTGGGTTTTAAATTTAAGGCAGGAAAAGAGGTCTTTGCAAGCACTTTTATGCTTCTATATGATCCCACCTGATCAGTCACAGTAACAAGTATTAGCTTAAAGGATTTTTGAATGACTAATAAATTTTTTTAAATCTTCTCTATGACCCCCTGCCTTTTAAGGATGCTAGGGTAAAAATTCTCCCCCAAACGTGCATGGGTTTGAATGTCACCCACCCGAGGAGCATGGGGCAGGAGGAACCATGCTGTGAAGGTAGACTGTTGCCTGTGGCTGACGCCAGTGTTTGTATTTGGGAACACATGTCCGGCAGGCATCCCACATGCAAATATTCGCACTGAACTCCTAGATGTGGGGGACTGGGGAAGCAAAGGCGAAAAGGAGGAATTTGAAGACGGTAGAGCAAACTGCAGCGTGCTTGAGCCACACTGAAGGAGCTCCAGCACCTGTTTAATTGAGTTTGATTCGTGCAAGTCATCTAAACACACAGCAAGAAGCAGGGCGTGCGAGGCAGGATCGGCTTCTGTGAGTCGGAAAGCATGTGTGGGAGAGACGTGGCCGGTCCGGGGCCGCAGGACCAAAGCGCCAGGCCGAGTTCAGGAGGAGCGAGGCCAGAGGCCGCTGCCGAGTAGGCCATGAGGCAGCTGACCGGAAGCGAAAGAATGACTTTTTGAAATGGGAAAAATAATTTTGTTTTTAGAGATTAAAATAACTTTTGTTGGACATTCTTGCGTAGGCACTGACTTAAACGCTTTATACCCGCTCACTGTGTTCACGACAGTCCCTTAAATTAGGTATTGCTACCTTCATTTTAGAGATGAGAAAACTGATGACTAACAAGTTGGGCGAGCTGCTCAAAGTCCCATTGTTGGCCTCGAGGCAGAGCTGAGATTCCAGAACAATCTTCCTACTCTGCAGCCCAAGTGCTCCATCACTCTGCTCTCTTTCCTGCTCTTGGAACCCGGGCCTGAGCACTGAGCTGTGTTCAGCTTTCTCCAATCTCTAGTGTGCCGTGGGCTGAGTGGTGTGCCTCCTGCCCAGGACGCTCATGTGTTGGAGTCCTAGCCTCCACTCTAACTGTATCTGGAGACGGCCTGTAAGGTGGTAATCGAGGTTTGCGATGAGGTCACCAGGGTGAGGCCCTGATTCGGGGTCCTTGGAAGAGAGAGGCGGTGGAGACGCTCGTCCATGTGGACACCGTGAGAAGATGGCCATCGACAAGCCAAGGAGAGACATCTCTCCAGAAACCCACCCAGGCAGCATCTCGACCTTGGACTTTCAGCCTCCACACTGTGAGGACGTAAATGTCTGTAGTTTTAAGCCCCCAGTCCGTGGCATTTGTTGCGGCAGCCCTAACAGACCGGCATTCTGTCTAGCAGCAACAAAAGCTGGCCTAGGATCTGGAGCATCAGATCAATTACAGAGAAATGATCTGAGGAGACATCAGAGTACAAAATAGGAAGATTGTCTTTGGCCCTGAACCTGAGGTGTTCCGCTAGGAGAAAATTCTGTTTTTTATTATAAAACTTAACGTAATGTAAACCTCGCTGCCTGATTCAGTGGCCATCAATCTGTTTGCCTATGAGAATAAACTTGAAAGCTCTAAAAAGTATATACTGACGCCCAGATCAGACTCCAGCACAGTGAAGACACCCCTAGAAGCAGAGCGTGGGTTCCCGAGTGATTATTACATGCAGTGTTGCTTGGGAACCACCC